CTGCTAAGTAGTAGCTTTTAAAACTGGGTAGTCAAAGTCCCCCTAATCCATAGTCCCATGTTAACTTCCCCATTGGGTGCCTTACAGTTCCATATGAATTGTCTGACATATTTATGAAGAGTTTTAAAAAAGGATTGTGGTAATAGAATGGGTAGGGATCATTAACAGATATTGCAGTCTTGGTTGTACATTACTTCAGCTAAAGGCTCAATTGCCAAGACGAAAAGTCCTGGAGACAAAGGGCATCCCTGTCAGCTTGATCTGCCTAAGGGAAACATAGATGAAACTTGTCCATTGGTGCTGATTTTCGCCCGTGCTTTGTGATAGAGAGTTTTTACCCAATTAATAAATAGTGGGCCAAATCCAAACTTGGCCAATACTTCAAATAAATACGCCCACTCTAACCTATCAAAGGCTTTCTCCGCGTCTAAAGCCACTGTTAAACTGGGCTCTGGTTCAAATTTTGTTAAATGAATAATATTAAAGAGCCAACATAAATTGTTAGCTCAGAAGCATTTTAAAATAAAGCCAGTCTGGTCTGGATTTATTAGTTGTGGCAAGTATTAGCCAAGTCTGTTAGCCAGGGCCTTAGAAATCAATTTGTAGTCAGTATTTAGCAATGAAATTGGCCGATATGAAGAGCACTTTAATGGATCTCTATTCTTTTTGTGAATCACAGTAATTATGGCAGTGGAGAATGATTCAGGGAGAGTTTGAGTCTTAGAGGCTAAATTAATGACGTTCATGAGAAGCAGGAGAAGTAAATCCTTAAATTCCTTGTAAAATTCAGGAGGAAACCCATCCTCTCCTGGCAACTTATTTGCCTGTAATGAGCCCAGAGCCTTTTCAATTTATCTTTGTGTGAAAGGCAGATCAAGACTATCTTGGTCTTCTTGGTCAAGTTTGGGCAATTTAACCATGGTCAAAAAATCATCTATCTTACTCAGGTTTTCTAATGGTTCTGATGTATAAATATGTGTAAAACTGTTTGAATGTGTCATTAATTTCTGTTGGATTATATGATACAGAGCCTGTTTCAGTTTGAATTGAATTAATTGTCCTAGAGCTTTCTTCTTTTCTTAGTTGCCAAGATAATATTTTGTGTTCTTTCTCTCCCAATTCGTAATACCTTGGTTTGGTTCTCAAAATATTTTTTTCAATTTTGTAAGTATGTAATGTATTATATTTGAGCTTTTTATTTACTAACAACTGATGTACTTCTTTAGACTTTGATTGTTGAAACTCCTTTTCCAAACTCAAAATGTCTTTTTCCAATTCTTCTATTTCTGCCATATATTTCTTTTTGATACCTTTGGTTTAAGAGATTCTTTGTCCCCTTAAAAAAGCTTTAAGCGTGTCCCATAGTATAAAACTATTGGGAGAGCAGGCACAGTTTGTCTCACAGAATAGCCCAATCTGATTTCTTATGAATTCGCAGAAGTCCAGTTTTTGAAGGAGGGTAGGGTTCAGACGCCACCTATATGAATTAGTAGCCTTTTCTGGCATATAAATAGACAGGGTCAAAGGTGAATGATCCGACAGTGTTCTAGATAAATATTCAGATTATACTGCTCTATGATTCAACTGTGTTGACAACAGAAAAAAATCAATCCGAGTAAAAAAGTTGTGGCAACCAGAAAAGAATGAGTAATCTCGCGTTTGAGGGTGCATTTGTCTCCACACATCTGTTAAGCTGAATTCTTTCATAAGATCTATGGTAATTTTGGCTGCTTTTGTTTTGGATACTGATAGCGTTGATTTATCCAGAAGAGGATCCAGGCAAAAATTAAAGTCACCCCTTATAAGAATATTTTGGCGTCCTTCTGACAGCTTCAAAAATGTGTCTTGAATAAATGACTCATCATCATAATGGGGTGCATATAAATTTAAGAGAGTCCAGGGCTCTGATCAGAATTCATAAAATCTGCAGTGAGTCTCTCACTCAGATTTTTGTCACAGTGTGAATCACTGTGATACAGCTGCAGAAGCAGAGTCATCCCATGTCTGACAGTAATAGACAGCAGAGTCTCCTGTCTCTGTCCGCTTCATGATGAACTGGTAATCTATGTTTGATGAGGATTTACAGTTGAATCTGTCTGAGGAGAATCCTGATCCAAAGTTGAGTGCGCTGTTAGAATAAAGAAACTCCAGAACATACTGAGGAGCTTCACCAGGAACCTGTTTATACCAGACGACATATTGGCTATCATCTCTCTGAATGTTGCAGTTGAGAACAACTTGTTGTCCTGTAGAAACTGTGTGGACAGCAGGCGTCTGGGTCAGCACTATCACTGCATCAACATCTGTCAACATACAGAGAAAAATACATGAGTCAAAGGTTTGTGTGTGAAAATATGGGCTATAAAAGGACTGAGAAGAATATCTTACATGTTAGAGCAGTGATGAGAGTGCAGAGGGTCCCCAGCATGTTGTCAGTGTGTGGTGTAAACGTCCCTTACTGTCCAGCTGAGAGGTGAGCAGGGTTGGAGTGTGAGGAGAAGAGAGACTGAAGCTTATAAAGACACTGAGGAGAGGAGAAGTGGAGGAGGAGGAGTTTCAACACTCAACTCTGTTTTCATTCATTCATCAACTACAGCATGTGTCAGTTTAAATCATTTCTCATCAAACAACAGATATCTGATGCTTCTTCTGCTCATAAACTGTGTCTTAACATTATATTTGATAACCACTGATGATTTTTGTGTAAGTTTTATCACTTCCACTGGTGATATCAGATTCATTTATGTGCATTATTCTATGTCATTATTAAAGTAATCTTACAGTCCACAGGATGAACACACTGTCATTGGTTTGTTATAAAGAATTGTCACAAAGTTGTGTATTATGTAGGTAAACAGGATTCTAATCAGAGTGAGAAAGTTTACTTTTTGTTTCACTGTTTTCATACTTTTCAATATTCCTCTTAGCAAACAAACAGGCTTACTATATATCTGAATTATTTTGACTAATACTTTTAAAAACTAACTAAAATGTCTTCATGTCCATGACCTGTAGGTTACTGTAGTATTGTTATTTACTTTTGTTTAGCAGCACTTTAATTAAGTGTTCGGCTTTTGAATCATTGTGAAGCAGATTACTTAATGAAACATGATTACTGTAGTCAGATTACTGTCAGATTTACTTCATCTGGAAGTTCAACAATCACCACAAGCTGTGTATCTCAAAACGATTGATCACATTTACTGTATTTAGAGGAACTTGTGTAACATTTCTATGACTAAGAAAAGTGTTAATTGACATGACACAGCAGCATTTAAATCCTGTTTTATGTGATAATCTCAGATATTATGTATGAAGGTGGGGTATATGTACTGCTGTTCTGTTCATCTTTAGTTTGATTAATTAAGCATGTACAGGATGGAAAGTGCAATTAAAGATGCAGTTCTAAAGATTCATGTAAGCTTCAAATAAGAGCATCTAGATGTTTGAAGAATGTTATGTTACACATTGTGTTGTTACACTGAGTTAACTTGTGGTTCTATTATCAGATGTGTCAGAGACTCAAAAAGCAGAAGTGTTTAGTGCGGAGGTTTTTGTCACAGTGTAAATCACTGTGATACGAACTCATTGAAAGAGCTGTCCCATGTGCTACAGTAATAGACTGCTGAGTCTCCCACCTCCACATTGCTGATGATCAAACGATAATCTGTTTTTGACTGATGATTAGATGTGAACTTTGGAAAGGAGAAGCCAGAGCCATAGACTACAGAGCTCCAAGTATGACGGAACCTCAGTATATGCTGAGGAGCTCCTCCTGGAATCTGTTTATACCAGAAAGCAGCACTGTCAGTCACAGTCCCCAGGTTACAGTCCATGGTGGCTGTCTCTCCTTTCCTCAGCGTCACAACAGGAGGCTTCTGTGTCACCACCGTCACACCACTCACACCTGGAAACAACAAGATGACATGGAGTCAAGAGAAACACACAGACTGATAAATCCAACATGAGGTCAAAGCTGCAGTAAGTCAGCCTCCTTACATGTTAGAGCAGTGATGAGAGTGCAGAGGGTCCCCAGCATGTTGTCAGTGTGTGCTGAGAATGGCCTTGTAACTTGGAAAGTCAGCTTACTGCTGACAGATCAGAGGCTTTGGAGGATGAGGAGAGGAGGTGCTGGAGGAGCAATTTAATAGCACACTGAAACTGAGAGTGACTGACAGGAGGAGGAGCTTTGCTTCACTCTGCATGCTTTCTCACATTTCTTACTCTCATCTTCTTTCATTTATCCATTATACCCAGTGTAGACGATGATTTACTAAATTCAGTGTCATGATGTCACAAAATACTTCAGTATAGATGAATGTCACTATTTTTTGGTTCCTAATGTATGGAATTCATGCATGAAAGCTTTATCATATTTGTATCATTGAGCAGGTTTTTCATACGTCAACAACAGACATCTGCTAGAGGATATAAACTTTGGCTCTGCTCACATGTACATATTGTAATTTACAGACATTAGACGTAAACTGTATTTGATTTACAACCTGTTAATGATTAAACTCTCAGTGTGTTTGCAGTCAGAGACAGTTCCCTCTGATTTTACAGAGAGCTGACACTTGACCTCTTCATTTACATGGAGCTATAAATAAGGAGAGGAGGCCTGCAGGTGCATCCTGGGAAGGAAGAGAGGGAGGAGTAGAGAGGTGATGCTTCACTGATGGAGGATGAAAACTCAGTTTCATTTGCTCATGTCATCTGATTTTTCTAACGTCTTAACGACTGTGAGCAACTAAAACAAGGCAAAGTCATATTCATCTTTCTGCTGTGCTTTTATTGCAAATTAACACCTAATAACAATGTTGCTTTATGATTTTGAATATAAATATTAAAGAAACAAGTCTGTCTGTTGTCTTTGTGTCCAGGATTATTATCAGTGACATGAACAACAGGAGAAAAATACAATCTAGTCAAGGTGACAACATTTGCAGAACATTATCCTTTTAAATGATGTTTTCACAAGTACAAATAAATACAAACACTTTTTCAACTGTTTTTTTTTTTTATTTTATTGAATGATTGTTGAAAACTGCAGCATTTGCAAAGCTGATACAACACCTCCACCTAACTGTCACAACATTTATTACAAGCATGCAGACACATCTTTTCTACCATGTAAACCTTGTAATGAGCAAACAGCACAAAGAGTAAAGAAGCAGATGTTAAATGCTCATTGTGCTCCTCTACTGTTCTTCAGTGGGACAGTGGGACTTGTTGATGTTTTTCTCTGCAGTCTGGGAGCCCAAAGACACTTTACATGTGTAAACCTTATCCATGTTCCAGTCTGACGTCTGGACGGCCAGATAGCTGCTGATTTGGAACGTCTGGTCTGCTTGCTGAACAGCGGTGCTGGTAGAGATCCCACTGCTCACTGGACTCCCACCAAGCAACCAGCTCACATCTGCAAAAGGCACAGACTGACTGGACAGACAGACCAGAGAGGCTTTGTTGGACTGGAGCTCAGCACTGGACGGAGGGAAGACTGTCAGGACAGGAGGAGGGAGGCTGGAGCCTGAAGATACACAAAGGACATTCATCAGATAACTAGGAGTCAAATCATTAACACAAAGCATGACAGTAGGAGATTCATTTATTGCTTGTGTTGACGATATAACCAACACGCTGAAGAAGTTAAGCATTTTGAATCTGCAAACACATTTAGAAATCATCACCTAAAATATGAGCAGTGTTCTTTTTAAAACATCAACAATCCATCAATCACAAATTTAGAAATATTTTTCATTAGTTAATTTTATTGTTAAGGTGGAAACTGTCATTAATTCACCCTCTGTACTTTACATAATGTTATTAAAATTCTAATATAATTTAAATCACTGTGACAGTTTCAGGTATATCAGAAGTCACTTTGCTTTGTGGTGTCTATCTAACCACCTAATAAAAATAATACTTCAAACAGCCACAATCATATTCACATAAAGTTTAAAATATTTCAGATCATTAGAGGATAAGTAAATAAATATCACAAGAACCATATTTTACTATTAATGTCACAATATAAAATACTCTTTACAGAATAATTAATGCAGAGTTTTGAAATGTTAAAACTTGTCATAAGTTATGAAAATAAATAATCTTGTAAATGTTGCCCAAATGTTTAAAACTCCTTTGCCATCAAAAAACCTTCTGAATATTTGTAGAAAATACTTAAAAATTGTGATCGTTTGCCTTCAGACACACAGCCTGATATCAAACAGATGTAGAACCACTTATCTATTATTCACCAAACAATGTGTTGAATATTTCTTTCTTTCTTTTTATTTATCAGATTATAAATTGCCCATTTTCTCTTAATTTGAATGAGAAACATAAAATCTGTGCTGTTTTATGATGAGTTAAAAAGTACTTACTTGTCACAATCAGCTTGGTGCCTTGTCCGAATACCACAGTGATTCAGTTTGTACACATGGCTGTACAAAAACCTCCTGACTCTCACTAATGAGGGGAGTGGAACTGAAACATCCTGTTGAGACCAACTTTCACTGTCAATGTCTCTTCACTTCATCAGTCTCATTATATTCCAAAACACTGCTGGACTTGTTTCAAACACTTTTGTTTCTTTTGGGGAATTTATTTAATGTCTGTTCTTGTTTTGTATCCAGTTTACTGATTTAAATTCAATGATTTTGGTCAGAATTCATAAAATCTGCAGTGAGTCTCTCACTCAGGTTTTTGTCACAGTGTGAATCACTGTGATACCCACTCCTGAGTAGAGGTGTCCCATGTTGCACAGTAATAGACAGCAGAGTCTCCTGTCTCTGTCCGCTTTATGATGAACTGGTAATCTATGTTTGATGAGGATTTACAGTTGAATCTGTCTGAGGAGAATCCTGATCCAAAGTAGTCTGGTGCACTGTTAGAATGGAAAAATCTCAGAACAAACTGAGGAGCTTCACCAGGAACCTGTTTATACCAGCTGACATATTGGCTATCATATCTCTGAATGTTGCAGTTGAGAACAACTTGTTGTCCTGTAGAAACTGTGTGGACAGCAGGCGTCTGGGTCAGCACTTTGACTGCATCAACATCTGTCAACATACAAAGAAAAATACATGAGTCAAAGGTTTGTGTGTGAAAATATGGGCTATAAAAGGACTGAGAAGAATATCTTACATGTTAGAGCAGTGATGAGAGTGCAGAGGGTCCCCAGCATGTTGTCAGTGTGTGGTGTAAACGTCCCTTACTGTCCAGCTGAGAGGTGAGCAGGGTTGGAGTGTGAGGAGAAGAGAGACTGAAGCTTATAAAGACACTGAGGAGAGGAGAAGTGGAGGAGGAGGAGTTTCAACACTCAACTCTGTTTTCATTCATTCATCAACTGCAGCATGTGTGTGTTTTTGCGTCCTATATTTTCTCTTTTGATTCAATGCCTTGATGTTATTTACTTTCTATTATGTGCATTCCTTCTGGAAAAGCATTAACAAGGACTGACATGAATTACCACTAAACTGACTCACTGACTGAGAGTAAACATGACTGTTTATCTTTTATCTCAGTTTCATCACACTTTTCTGACATGTCCTCTCACCAAGTGAACATGCTCCATATTAAAAATGCCTCCTGTGATTCATTTATTGGAATCAATCTGTGAATATAGATGATATGCGAGCAGCTCAAAGCAGCATTTTCATTTGGTGTTTTACCTGAAAACACACCAATTATGATATGTTTCAGATGACTCTGAGTCTATCCCATGAAACAGGAATCATGTCATTACATTATTGTCACAGTTTCTGCAGCTGGAAGTTTAACAATCGTCACTACCTGGGCACCAGAAAAAATAATAATAATAATAATAAAAAAAAAAAAAAAATAATTGTCATAGTTTGTGTATCTAAAACAGTGTCAGTGAACATAAAGATAATATGTGGCAAAATACAGTTGGATTTAAAACCTGAATATGAAAATATCAGATAGTAAGGATGTAGGTGGAGTGCGTTTACTGATGTATTACATTATTCTTTTATTTATTTTTAGGTACAAATAAATATATACTTTCATCAGTTAATGTTGTGAAATTTGAAAAAAAAAATGAAGTTGTGCGTAGTTACACGTGCGAGTTTTAGGGAGTTTGACTGCAGCACATCATCACTTTATAAGTCAACACGTGGGAGTTTCTGAAAAAGCAGAAGTATGCAGTGAGGAGGTTTTTGTCACAGTGCAAATCACTGTGATACCTCCTCTTTAGCAGAGCTGTCCCATGTGTGACAGTAATAGACTGCTGAGTCTCCCTCCTCCACATTGTTGATGATCAAACGATAATCTGATGTTGACTGATGATTAGATGTGAACTTTGGAGAGGAGAAACCAGAGCCATAATAAACAGAACTCCAGCTGTGAAAAAACCTCAGCACATACTGAGGAACTCCTCCTGGAATCTGTTTATACCAGACGGCTTTATCAGCAACAGTCCCCACGTTACAGTCCATGGTGGCTGTCTCTCCTTTCCTCAGCGTCATAACAGGAGGCTTCTGTGTCACCACCGTCACACCACTCACACCTGGAAACAACAAGATGACATGGAGTCAAGAGAAACACACAGACTGATGAATCCAACATGAGGTCAAAGCTGCAGTAAGTCAGCCTCCTTACATGTTAGAGCAGTGATGAGAGTGCAGAGGGTCCCCAGCATGTTGTCAGTGTGTGCTGAGAATGGCCTTGTAACTTGGAAAGTCAGCTTACTGCTGACAGATCAGAGGCTTTGGAGGATGAGGAGAGGAGGTGCTGGAGGAGCAATTTAATAGCACACTGAAACTGAGAGTGACTGACAGGAGGAGGAGCTTTGCTTCACTCTGCATGCTTTCTCACATTTGTGCCATGATCTGAAAATAGACTTGATCCAACTAAGGCTGCAGGTGGGGCAGAGAAAGCGGGGCACATCATCAGCAACAGCAACAACAATAAATACAAATCATGAGATAAAAAACAACAAACAACATACTAGTTCAAGGGAATGGAAATTTCATATCAAGTACAAAATGCAAGAATGCCTAAGTGCAGGTGTGCAAAATGTGCCGTGATAGTGCAGGAGTACAGACAAGGTGCTAGCTGCTACTGAGCAGATTTATAGCACTTGGAATGAAAGATGTATGAAATCTTTTAGTCCTCTGAACAGGTGCCCTGAAACGGCGACCTGAGGACAGCAGCTCAAACTCCCCTTGAAGTGGGTGGTCCTGACAGACCAGTATAGCATTAGCCCTCCTACGTACCTGCCTGTTATAAATGGCCAAAAGCTTGTTCTGACTCCTCCCTGAGATTTTACTGGCACTTTTCACAAGACATTGGTTGATTCAGACATTGAATAAGGTTTCCAAACCAAACAATAACACAGGAAGTTCAAACAGATTCAATGAAACTCCTGTAAAAGAGCGTCATCATTTCAGTGGACACATTAAAGGAGCTCATGTTCCTCAAGAAATAAAGTCTCTGTTGGACCTGTTTCGAGGTAAAATCAGCATGGGATTCAAAAGTGAATTTGTTGTCAAGAGCAACACCCAGATATTTATATGTCTCAACTACACCAATATCAACACCTTTTACAACAGTTGGCAGAGGGCTTGGTGGCGACTTCCTAAAATCAAATACCATGTTTTTTGTTTTGGACAAATTTAGATGGAGGAAAGACTCGTCACACCAAACCACAAAAGCATCCACAACTGGCCCATGATCCTGTTCCTCTCTTTCAAGAAGACTAACAATAACAGAATCATCAGCAAACTTTAAGATGTGTCTGTTCCTATAACTGCTTCTGCACTCATTGGTGTACATGATGTGAAGAAGAGGGGAGAGACAACAACCTTGGGGGGAACCGGTGGAAGAGTAGAGTCGGTTGGAGATAACACCGTTAACTCTCACACACTGTGGCCTATCAGTTAAAAAATCCATTATTCAACCAACCAGGTTAAGATCAAGTTTAAAATGGCAGATGAGCCTCTCTGCAAGCAGGAATGGCTGGATGGTGTTAAATGCTGAGGAGAAATCAATAAAGTCTGGCATGAGTCATGGGGCCCTCCAAATGCCCATACAGAAAGTGTAACAGGGTGACCACAGCGTCCTCCACACCTCTACCAGGCCTGTATGCAAACTGTAAAGGATGGAGTTGATCCTCCACCTGTTTTAAAGCTTCTTTCTTAATAAGCTCCTCAAAGGACTTCATAACTAAAGAAGTCAAAGCTACTGACCTTAAATCATTTCACTCTGTAGGTGTGTTACACTTGGCTACTGGGACAATAATGGCATGTTTCCAAAGCATGGAGACCTAGACTTTCTATTTGCTCATTGTTGAGCCATTAAAGACAGGTATGGCTGTTTTAATATTAATATTGGGCCTGTTGATGGACCTGTTACACATGAACTGAGTGCTTCACAGATATCTTTGGTCATCTGCAGTCATCAACATTCTGCATTCACCAGTTAAATTAAATTAAAACTTTTGACATTCTTCAATAAGTAGAGATATAAAACAAACAAAGATATAACAAACAACATTGTGTAACGTAGCGTCAACTCAGTCAGTGTTCAGTGGAGACTCAAAAAGCAGAAGTATGTAGTGAGGAGGTTTTTGTCACAGTGTAAATCACTGTGATACCTCCTCTTTAGCAGAATCATCCCATGTGTGACAGTAATAGACTGCTGAGTCTCCCTCCTCCACATTGTTGATGATCAAACGATAATCTGATGTTGACTGATGATTAGATGTGAACTTTGGAGAAGAGAAACCAGAGCCATATTTAACAGAGCTCCAGCCGTGATAAAACCCCAGTACATAGAGAAACACACAGACTGATGACTGGTCATCTGCAGTTATATATCTGTACTTATTGGAGAATGTCAGACATTTTGGAAAAAATCTGATAACAAACAAAGATACAACAAAAAGCATTGTTTTTGGTTCAGTCAAGGTTTGTTGGAGACTCAAAAAGCAGAAGTATGTGTGAGGAGGTTTTTGTCACAGTGTAAATCACTGTGATACAGCCTCATTAGCAGAGCCGTCCCATGTAGCACAGTAATAGACTGCTGAGTCTCCCTCCTCCACATTGTTGATGATCAAACGATAATCTGTTGTTGACTGATGATTAGATGTGAACTTTGGAGAGGAGAAGCCAGAGCCATATCTTGGAGAGCTATAGGTGTGATGAAACCTCAGCACATACTGAGGAACTCCTCCTGGAATCTGTTTATACCAGACTGCTGCATAATCAGTCACAGTCCCCAGGTTACAGTCCATGGTGGCTGTCTCTCCTTTCCTCAGCGTCACAACAGGAGGCTTCTGTGTCACCACCGTCACACCACTCACACCTGGAAACAACAAGATGACATGGAGTCAAGAGAAACACACAGACTGATGAATCCAACATGAGGTCAAAGCTGCAGTAAGTCAGCCTCCTTACATGTTAGAGCAGTGATGAGAGTGCAGAGGGTCCCCAGCATGTTGTCAGTGTGTGCTGAGAATGGCCTTGTAACTTGGAAAGTCAGCTTACTGCTGACAGATCAGAGGCTTTGGAGGATGAGGAGAGGAGGTGCTGGAGGAGCAATTTAATAGCACACTGAAACTGAGAGTGACTGACAGGAGGAGGAGCTTTGCTTCACTCTGCATGCTTTCTCACATTTGTGCCATGATCTGAAAATAGACTTGATCCAACTAAGGCTGCAGGTGGGGCAGAGAAAGCGGGGCACATCATCAGCAACAGCAACAACAATAAATACAAATCATGAGATAAAAAACAACAAACAACATACTAGTTCAAGGGAATGGAAATTTCATATCAAGTACAAAATGCAAGAATGCCTAAGTGCAGGTGTGCAAAATGTGCCGTGATAGTGCAGGAGTACAGACAAGGTGCTAGCTGCTACTGAGCAGATTTATAGCACTTGGAATGAAAGATGTATGAAATCTTTTAGTCCTCTGAACAGGTGCCCTGAAACGGCGACCTGAGGACAGCAGCTCAAACTCCCCTTGAAGTGGGTGGTCCTGACAGACCAGTATAGCATTAGCCCTCCTACGTACCTGCCTGTTATAAATGGCCAAAAGCTTGTTCTGACTCCTCCCTGAGATTTTACTGGCACTTTTCACAAGACATTGGTTGATTCAGACATTGAATAAGGTTTCCAAACCAAACAATAACACAGGAAGTTCAAACAGATTCAATGAAACTCCTGTAAAAGAGCGTCATCATTTCAGTGGACACATTAAAGGAGCTCATGTTCCTCAAGAAATAAAGTCTCTGTTGGACCTGTTTCGAGGTAAAATCAGCA